AAGAAAAAAAACAATTAAAGAGAAAGCAGAAAATATTAAAAACAAAAACAACTTTAAAATGGGTCAAAAGGGAGATCCGCTGATGCTGTGACATGTTAACTTAACCCATCTGCCATGATTGACTTTACATGCTCTCTGTGTGAGAGCAATGCTATTCACAGCCCTGGACCACGGTCTGAGGAGATTCACCAGGGACGCGATCCATGTGGGGACTCTGCAAACGGATTTTGGGCTTCCACTGTCACCCATAGCCCCTGCAAGCCAGGTGTTCACAAGTTAAGCTGACACTGTTCCCTCCTTTGGATTTAGGGCTTATTGCTTACAATCCTAGATCACACAGGCTGGTGTGCTTCTTTCATGACAACTTAGTTGATACCTCACTTAGATGGCGGCTTGTTTAAAGACAAGTTTATTAAAAGCTACTCTCCTGCTAGCCGGGTACCATCTGGTTTCTTCACCACACTATGCTGTAGCCTCCAAGCCTGCCGTGCTCTCTTCATGGGGGCGAGCATCGAGCAGGGCCATGTCATAAGAACTAACTGTTCTTGGTTTGGGCTAGAACCACGTGCAAGACCCAAATCTATTCATATATCTATGGATTTTGTGTTTCTGTTTTACTTTATAGCTATCATTATCATTTTATAATAGAGAACATTATAAATCACACCCCTGGGCATATTGATAGTGTCATTAATTTAACCAATGGTACAGAATTTAAAACGCTGTTGAGAAAAGGAAATTATACAAATATAGGGCCATCTCAGGTTGTAATGCAGGAATTGTTTCCTTATACGGGTTAAGTGACCAGACACTATTGACACAAACAATGGGGATTGGTGATAGGGCACACTTTCAATAACACTCATTCACAAAGGCAGGGTCATGCCTACAAGGTTAATCCATGTCTTGAGAAAGCACAGCGGGCATTAAAATAGTAACTAGATGGTAGTCCTAGGCCACCATTCAGATTCAAGATCCCAACCAAAGTCCAACGACGGCCAATTCCATCCCCTCAGGACAGCAGGCATCGGCTTCTTCTCACACTACGGTGTTCCAGGCTCAAGTCCAAGGGGGTCAGTCAGTTCCGTAAATCTGCTACAGGTGACTTTGAGGTAAGCCCAGTTCACTTAGTGGGGTTTCCACATTGGGTCCTTCTGGTGTGGCTTCTGAAGGCTGTTGTGTGCCTTCAGAGGACAGAGTCTAAAGTCCCAGTAGTCTACAGCATACAGCCTGAGTCACCAAGGGCTGGCTAGAAACCAGGTCAGAAGTGTCCAAGGGGGGACATGTGTTGTTGTTGTTAGGGGCCCTGGTGTCAGTTCAGTGACCCTCTGCACAACAGAACAAGGCACTGCCCGGTCCTCACGACCTTCACATTGTCCCTCTGCTGAGTCCATGGTCTCAGCCACGCAGCCCTGGGCATATTCTCCCTTTAGGGTCTATAGCACAAGCATTTTTCCCAATGGGAGGTTGCTGCTCTAGGTTTACTCACCCACAGAAATGTAATCACCTTCTTCAAGTCATACCTGCTCGCCTCCCCTCAAGATGACATGACCTGCGAGCAGAAGTCTGCCTTCTTCTTGGTGTCTACCCTTATAGTAGTGGACTCATACAAGATTTGACCTTTTGTGATTGACGGTTTCCAGGTCCATCCATGTCCTGAGGTATTTCCTGCCTTCTTTTTCTATTATCCAAACTTCACCTCCGCAAGAGGCAATACGTAGGCTGCAGGAGGAGACTAGATATCCTCCTGCAGCTGCAGAGGCTGCAGCCCAAGAGCGGCAGGTAGACAAGCTGGAGGCTGAACGCATCCAAGGTTCGTAGGTAAGGCTTGTGATTGGAGAGGCAAATGCATCCCAGGTCACAGGTCGGTTCTGCTGCGAACTGAAAACTCTGAGGTCTGAGTCCAACCTGGTGACCTACATCTGAAATACCAGCCACGGAAAACGCTAAGAAGCACAGTTCTACTCAACACACTGGGGGCCACCCGTGAGTTGGAATAAACTCTATGGTAACTAACTATCTTAGGGGAAGGTCAATACTTTTCCTCCAGATTTCTTCACTCAGCACCTGGACCCAAATGCAAATGGCTATTTGTGACTGAGAGGTGACAACTTCTACCTCCAGCCAACAAAGGCTACATATGAAGTCCTGCCCAGATGAAAAATGTCCTGGTTTCCCGTTGTAGTTAAGAAAAAAGAGCAGAGGGTAAGAAGTCTAAGGGCGATGGCTTAGGTTTGTAAATTCAGAAACTGAGTATTACCCTGCTCAAGGTGGACTGTTTTGATTTAAAAGACGCAAGCACACAAGAGGTAGATGCACAAACCAGTACAACGAGAATAGTTACGAGCACAGGTGAAGGGCAGTCTCTGCTACAGGAAAAGCTGCTCTTATTCAGAAACCAAACCAAAGGCAGCAGACTGAACAAAGAACCTTGACGAAGAACAAACGGAGGTCGCTAGATGTCAGGTATTTGTTTCAGGCCCTGGGGAGAAAAAACAAGCAAATATAAAAATGAGAGTACAACCTCTACTTTTTAAAATGTGTGTCCACGAGGCCTGAGTGCTAAAACTCAAACTCCTGCTCGCTGAGTTTCTCACTCTAAGCGTCATGTTCTCTCTCCCACATCCTCTCTTTATTCTGAACAGTTACTTAGTCTTAAGCCTCTTAATTACAGTCACACATTCCAGACTGGCCTTCTTGGACTTACTTAAACTGTTCGGCTAATGTACAAGACACACTTGCTGACCACCTGTAGTTCTGGATGACTTGATTCATGTTTGTCTTGTTTCTAAGCTCGCGGAGAAAGGCCTCACTCTTTCCTGTGATCTCCTTTTGATTTATTCTACTGACTTTTTCATAAAATAAATATATACCTGGTTTAAAGCCAAGGAGCCTGGTGGTGTAGTGAGTTACACGTTGGGTTACCAACCACAAGCTAGCACTTCGAAACCACTAGTCATTCCATAGAAGAAAGATGAGGTGTTCTATTCTTGTTAAAAAAAATGAGACCCCCACTATCATGATCCCAATTCTGCCTTACAAATCAGGCTAGACCAGAGGATGTACACTGGTACAGATAGGAACTGGAAACAGGGAATCCAGGACAGATGATCCCTTCAGGACCAGTGGTGAGAGTGGTGATACTGGGAGGGTAGTAGGAGGGTGGAGTGGAGAGGGGGAACCGATTATAAGGATCTACATATAACCCCTCCCTGGGGGATGGACAACACAAAAGTGGGTGAAGGGAGACATCGGACAGTATGAGATATGACAAAATAATAATTTATAAATTATCAAGGGTTCATAAGGGAGGAGGGAGCCGGGAGGGGGACAAATGAGGAGCTAATGCCAGGCGCTTACATAGAGAGCAAATGTTTTGAGAATGATGAGGTTAACAAATGTACAAATGTGCTTTATACAATTGATGTATGTATGGATTATGATAAGTTATAAAATCCCTCAATAAAATGATGGGGAAAAAAAGAGTTTATGCGTTGGAAATGCATAAGGGCAGTTCTACCCGGTCTTATAGGGTCGCTTGGAGTAGGAATTGATTCACCGGCAATTGGCGGGTTTTTGTTTATTTTAAAGTCAATTGCAAAAGTACAGAATGAAAAGCTCATTTAACTCCCATCTACATGACTTGTGGACTTGACTGGAGGTCATGGGGAACAGGTTAGATATGAGGTTCTGTGTTCAAAGCCTTCAAATCCAGGGCCCAAATTGGTTGTGGCACTCTAGACTGCCCAAGTGATTGCATCTCACCAACCTCTACTACAGTGGCTCTCCACCTTCCTCATGCCGCGACCCTTTCACACAGTTCCTTATGTGGTGGTGACCCCCAACCACAAAATGATTGTCGTTGCTACTTCGTAACTGTCCTTTTACTACTGTTATGAATCATCATGTAAATATCTGAAAGGCAGGATGTATTTTCATTGCCACAAATTGAACATCATTAAAGCATAGTGATTAATCACGAAACAACATGTAATCATATATTGTGAAATATTTATGTGTGTTCCCACGGTCTTAGGTGACCCCTGTGAGAGAGTCATTCAACCCCCAAAGGGGTTGTGACCCACAGGTTGAGAGCCTGACGACCCTGTTCTACTATATTCTAGACATTGTGACTACAAAGGGCTAAAGATACTGAATGCCTTAAGGGTGGGCAGTGTCTGCCCAGAGCTTCTCAAGTCAAATGCATTAAGTAGCATGAATTCACAGTTGGCAGCCGAAGCATTTATAAAAAAAGAAGAAAGAAATGTAGTTAAAGAAGTCAGTGAACCCAACTGAAATAATATCACTTTTATCTCAGGGCAGGGTCCTGGTGTACAGTGGTTAAACGCTCAGCTCTAATTACCTTGCCCCCCTTTGGGTACAGTCGCTCTGTGGGACCTTCACAGCCTTGGAAACCTTAAAGGGCCATTCTACCCTGCCCTACGGGGTTGCTGTGAGTTGCAATGGACTCAGTGACAACGGGTTCGGATTTCTGGTGTCACAGTTTTATCTCAGGCTACCGAAACCTCAAACGCACAAAAACCAACCCCTACTGCTCTCGAGCCCGACTCAGTGGCCACACGACAGGGTGGAAGCACACCCCTAGGTCTCCGCGCCCGTTACTCCCCCCACATGCTAGCTTCCAACCTACGACCCCTGGCCGGTTGTCAGTCTGGCGCTAATTTGCCGCGCCACCAAGGTTCCTCTCGAAGGGACCGGGCGCCTTGAACTTTTCGCGACCGGGTGGGCTCCGCACCGGCAGCACCTCCAGCGCCGGGAGCCCGCGCTGACGAGGACCCGGGCGGGGCCATCCTCGCCGCGCCGCAGCAACGTCCCGCCCCAGCAACGCCCCGCCCCAGCAACGCCCCGCCCCCACGGAGCCCCGGAATCCCGCCTCCCATTGGCTGCGGAAGGAAAGGGTAGGCCAATCAACTTAGCGGTAACTTCCGGCTCTCGGGATCACTTCCGCCACGGGGGTCAGGCTCCGCCCAGTTTGCCCGGCACCGCTCGCGCGGCTGGAGTCAAGATGGAGGAGTATGCGCGAGAACCTTGGTGAGTCTTATCCGCTGCCCTTGCCTCTCTCCTGTCCCCCTGCCCACGCCCGCGTCCTCCCCGCCCCACTCCCCCGAGGTGCTCGCCGAGCTCGGCGGCGGGCTCGTCGTCACGGGCTTGGTGACCGCGGACTGAGTGCGCTTGAGCGGCCAGTGGGGTTTATACCACCCGGGCCGCGTGAGGCAACGTTGCTGCCACAGCCCAGCACCCAGTGACCTTGCGGTGGGTGATCAGAGCATCCAGGCTGGCACTGGGTGGAGTCTCGGCGTCTCCTGGCCGTCCAGGGCACAGTCGGCCTTGTGCGGGGCCAGTGGTACTTGGTGACCTTGGACGCGTCCCTACGCCTCGCGGGCTTTGAGCAATGGGAGGATGGCCTCAAACGGTGTCACACGCTTGAGACTTTCGTGTCGTCATAGGTGTCCGCAGGGCGAGGTATTTCGGATGAATGGAAAATACGTGCTCTTTATCCAAAAGGTTCGACTGGAACCTTCTGCACACGCTTAGCATTCTCCCTTTGCGAGAGTACCAAGCAGACATCTGGAGAATAGAAAACGTGGCTTGCGTGCCCTAAACAGTCAAGGGCAGAAATTCATTCATTCTACATGTACTGATGGAGAGGCCTGTGTCCAGGCATTGAGGCTCAAGGACTACACGAATACACCAGGCGCTTCCAAACAAGACCCCTTCCCACCTTATATCAGACCCGAGTGGACAGAGTAGAACCAGGCCCTTCCTTCATCTTTCAGGACCAGTTCTTGCTCCCTCCAGCGTTGGGTGGGGTCCAGCCTTTGAAATAGCAGGCAAGCATTTACCATGGGGCCATAAGTAAATTATAAAATGATGCAGTTGCTTCCAGAGACAAGGTCTTTGCTGCCTGGGTTTCAGGCTTTTGAAAGTGAAAAGTCAGGTCTTGTTATTTGGGCTCACTCATTGTGTATAGAGCAAGAACTGGGGTGTCCTCATGCTGTGAGGGTCCAGAATTTCAAATTACTGCCTTGCAGATGCCTTAGCACAGCGGTTCTCAACCTGTGAGTCGCCACGCCTTTGGGGGTTGAACGACCCTTTCACAGGGGTCGCCAGATTCATAACAGTAGCAAAATTACAGTGATGAAGTAGCAACCAAAATAATGTTATGGTTGGGGGTGGGGTCACCACAACATGAGGAACCGTTTTAAAGGGTCACGGCATTAGGAAGGTTGAGAACCACTGCCTTAGAGACAAGAATGTCTGATTCTTCATCTCATGAGCTTTGGGCATGCTGTCAGAAGGGGCCGGTCCCTGGAGAAGGACATCTTGCTTGGCGAAGTAGAGGAGGAAGGAAAGAGGAAGGCCCTCAAGGAGTTGGATGGACACAGTGGCTGGAACCGTGGTTTCAAGCATAAAGACAGTTGTGAGGCTGGCGCAGGACCAGGCAGTGTTTCATTCTGTTGTGCATCCGATAGCACCTAACAGCCACCTTGCAAATATGTAGCCCTGCTGCTTGCTTTGTGGCCCTGTACCTTCAGTAGGATGCAGGTCTACGAGTGGCCTTCAGAAAGGTGGTGGGGAAATTCCAGCACCTTTTCATGCTTTTCCCCACAAGTTTGGGGAGGTCCCTTGTATGTTTCAGCTCCTCCCAGCTCTTCTCCCCTTTTACTGACTGGTACTCCCATGGGAGCCCTGGGCACAGCCCTACACGTCTTCAGCTGTTATTGTAGAGTGGATACTGACACAAGTTGAAAATCAAGTCAAGTGTTCTGCTTTGTTGAGTTACAAAATGTATCTTTTTTAGTCCATTATAGTAGTGCTTCTCAATCTTTTCATCTGGAATCCCCTGTGTGTCTTGCTGAACCATCAGATTTTGATTTGGTGAGTTTGGAACAGGAACCTGTGAGTGCGGGTTAACAAACTCCCAGGTGTTGCTCGTGTTGTTGCTCTCTGGCCTACCCTTTGGGGAGCAGAGCCCCAAAGCATGCTGCTGCTCACTGAATTATAGACTCCATGCATCATGTGGTGTGATGGTTCAGTGAGAGGATTGTCACTTTAACGTGGGGCACAGGAAGATTTATACCTTTCTACCTGTTTTCTTTTGGCCAATGTATTTTAGGTATGTGTTGCTAGGGTGCTGAAAAGGTTTCAGCAGAGCTTCCAGACCAGCAGTTCTCAACCTGTGAGTCGCGACCCCTTTGGGAGTCGAATGACCTTTCACAGGGGTCACCTGATTCATAACAGTAGCAAAATTACAGTTATGAAGTAGCAACGAAAATAATTTTATGCTTGGAGGGGGGTGGTCACCACAACATGAGGAACTGCATTAAAGGATCTGGCATTAGGAAGATTGAGAACCGGTGCTCCATGCTAATATGGATTAGGAAGAAAGGCCTGGTGATGGATTTGCACAAATCAACCACACAAACCCCTCTGGACCACATGGCCTGGCCTCCCCCTGATGGTGGAAGTAATGTAGGACCACAGCGATTTGTTCCATTGCACACTGAGTCTCCATGAGCCAGAGGCTGACGCCATGGCAGCACAGAACTACATGAGCTAGTCAGTCTGTACAAGGCTCTTCTTCTCTTCCTGATAAAAATACATAACTCACCTTCATCAGCAGCAACAGAATAATACACTGGGTTCACAAGGTTATGTGAGCAGGTAGGGTTCCTATGGGCTCCTACAGCATTTGTCCTTTGGAGTATGTAAAAGGGATTTTTTTCAAACCTGTATTGACCTCTCGAGTGGATTGAAGTTGTCGAGGATTTAATTTTGCGTGGGCATCCACAATCAATGCTCATGGAAGCACTCACTCCTATCCAGCTGATTCTGACTCACAGTGACCCTGTAGAACAGAACTGCCCCTGTGGGGTTCCCAGACCTTAGCTCTTTACAGGAGTAGAAAGTCTCGTCTTTCTCCTTAGGAGCAGCTGGTGGTTTCGAACTGCTGACCTTGTGGTTAGCAGCTCAGTGTGTAACCCTGGTGATATACTTGAACTAATCAACCACAGAAAGCCCTATGGATCACAATGGCCAATCCTCACCTGATCATGGAGGTGATGAACTCAAACTACACAATGGCCAAGAAATCAAGCCTGCACAAGATGACTTTCAAATGTTGGTGTCACTTTGATGACTAAGGTGTTCCTGAGCCAGTCATGATTTTGAAAGTTGGACCATGATAAGGAAGACTTCGTAAGAATTGGTGCTTTTCTTACAGTGTTGGCAAAGAATATTGAAACTACTGTGGACTGCCAGAAAAACAGTCAGCTCTGTCTTCAAAGTACAGCCAGAATACACCCGAGCAGTGAGGTTGGCTTCTCTGGTACTTTGGACCTGTTTTCAGGAGAGAGCGGTTTCTGGGAGAACATCATGCTTGATAAAGTGGAGGGTCAGTGAACAAGGAAGGCCCTCAGGTAGATCGACAAAGTGGCTGCCACAGTGGGCTTGCCCAGAATGACAACGGTTGTGAAGATGGCTCCGGCCTTGGCAGTGTTCGGTTCTGTTGTATCGGGTCTCTAGGAAGCCTGGTGGTTACATGTTGAGCTGCTAAGTGCAAGCTCTGCAGTTCTACCCTGCCCAACAGGGTCACTATGGGTCAGAATGGACTCCATTACATGAGTTGGGTTTTTGTTTTGTTTGTTTTTTGACATAAGGTCACTGTGAGTGGGAACAGACTTGACAACACCTAATAACAATAGTGATCTGGAGGTGTAGTTGCTAACCCAAAGGTCGGCAGTTTGAGCCCATCAGCTGCTCTGCAGGAGAAAAATGAGGCTTTCTGGTCATGGAAAGATTTATAGCTTGGAAAAGCCAAAGGGGTGTTTCTGCTCTGTCTGGCAGGGTCTCTTTTGAGTCAAAATCAACTTAATGACAATAAGGTTTTTGTTTTTTTCTTTTGGGGGGGGTGTTGTTTTTTGGTGTATAGTGACTTGAATGGGAATTTAACTACTCAACTGTCTTATAATCCAAGCTCCTAGAATAGTTCTGTTCTGATCAGATTACGTGATATGTCAGATTGCTATATAGATGGGGTCCTATATTTGGAAACTAGGTTTATATATTTAACTCTAATTATTGGGTTTTAGAATATCCCAGTGTGTTAACTAGAGTTGAAACAAACCATTCTTTTTTTTTTCTAATCATTTTATTAGGGACTCATACAGCTCTTACCACAATCCATTGTGTCAAGCACATTCGTACATATGCTGCCATCATTTTCTAAACATTTTCTTTCTACTTGAGCCTTTGGTATCCGCTCATTTTCCCCTCTTCTCCACCCTCCCTCCCTCATGAACCCTTGATAATCCATTAAACAATTTTTTCCCGTGTCTTAAACTGACTTCACCCACTTGAAACAGACAATTCTAAGGACACCCCGTTTTCTTCTGGAGCCATTGAATCATTTTTTTCAAACCGCTTTATTGGCACTTCTTCCACATCTCATCCCATTCAATAGTCCAATCGTATCAAGGAGAGTTGGACAATCATTGCCATAATCAACTTTAGAACATTTTCTTCTTCCTTGTACTCACTGTAACTAGTGTAATTATTATTTTTAATTATGGTCAAAATATACACAATGAAACGTTCTCCAATTCAACAACTTCTGCATTTATAATTCACTGCCATTGATTATACTCTTTGTGTTGTGCAACTATTGATATCTTTTTCCAAACTTTTCTACCCCATTAACATAAAGTCAACACCCACTAAGCAGCAAATACTCTTCCTCCTTCACCCATGGTAACAATTGGCCTACTTTGGTTTCTTCTTCTTCTTTTTTTTTTTTTTTTTAGCAGTTTTCTTAATGTAAGTATAAAATCCACATATCACACAGTATTAAAAATAATTGTATATACATCATCAAATTAATTTGAGAGCTTTCCCTCCTCCCTACATCCATTGCTTCCCACCCCCATAAAGCATTGCGTCAGTTATTGTGTGTATGCATCTGCTCCTGAGCTTCATAAACTGGGAACCTAACAGAAACAACAAACAAAAATGAATTGAAACGAAAAAAATAATAATATAGAGATAAAAATAAAGAGGAAGAGAAAAAGACTACTAACTATTTTAAAAGCTAGAGAAGACATTTCTGTTGTGGAACAAGTAAGAAATATGTAAGCCTAGAGCAAATTCAGATTGGGTCAAGAGGGAGGTCAACGGACCAAGTATTGTATTATACCAGGTTTCGATCTACCATAATCAAGGTTACAAAATAATCTCAGTAAAGTTGCTCTAGTCCCTTGCCTGTGACCAGAGGGGATCTGCTGGATCATGTTGTGGTAACCACCTCCCCCAACCATAAAATTATTGTGGTTGCTACTTCATCACTATAATTTTACTGATGTTATGAATCAGGCGACCCCTGTGAAAGTGTCGGGAGACCCCCAAAGGGGTCATGACCCACAGGTTGAGAACCACTGTGCTAGATGCTTAATCTGACTAGATACTCTGCAGGTGGATTTGGGGGGTCCAGTGCCCCCCCCCCAGCTTTCTACAAATTGGGAAGCTCTGATAACCATTCCCTCGACGTATTTGGATTTTGTTATCATCGTCTTTGGATCACACAGGTTGGTGTGCATCCGGGTGGACTTAGTCGACGCCTCACTTAGGTGGAGTAGCCATCGGCTCTTCATCCTATGGGTCTTAGCTTTAAATTCCATTCCCGTTGGAGGGCTTCCCAGGGACCTAGATCAGCATTGTTGATGGGATTTCCTGTGTGTGTTGGTTTGTTTTGGGCACCAAAAGCCAAACCTTCTGCCATGGAGTCAGTTCTGACGCCTGGCGGTCCTCCACAGGATTTCCGAGATTGTAGGAAAGCAAGGAGTAGCCAGGCAGCTTTCCACACACCACCCAACATATTAGGGACAATCAGGGTCCCGTGATTGGATCAAGCGCTGCTAAGAGTTGGGAGTTAGTGCTAGTTTTCTTTCTGGCTTAGAGGATTGGGGGTTGAAAAGTCTATATTTTGTCTGTGATTTACAGGCCAGTGCTACTGGCCAGAGTGGACCCTGAAATAGAACCTGGTGCTAGGGACTGGGTTAAGGTGTTGTGGATCCTAAGTCCCGTCTTTTTCTCCTACGTTCCCAGCCCCTGGCGCATCGTGGACGACTGCGGTGGAGCCTTCACCATGGGCACCATAGGTGGTGGTATCTTCCAAGCCATCAAAGGTTTTCGGAATTCGCCAGTGGTAAGTGGGCGGCGGTTTTGTTTTCCATCATCGTGTAAAATTGTTATTGGCAGCGTCATTCATGGCCCCACCCATGGGTTGGAAAATGGGTGCTTTTTCTAATACGTTTGTTTCCCTGTAGGGAGTCAACCATAGACTACGAGGGAGTCTGACAGCCATTAAGACCAGGGCGCCACAATTGGGAGGTGAGCAGATGTTTCCCATTTGTTCTCTCCCTGTTTGTGTAACGATGGAGCTTTTCTTCTTGTTGAGATTGTACCAATTAGTGATCTTGGTCTTCTCTAGATAATATCCCTGGGGCTCTTTTTGTTTGTTTTCTGGTTTCTTGCAGAAGTTCATTTCATTTGACCGCTGTATTCATCTGAAAAGCTTATCTTTGCCCTTTAAAGTATTGGTGTTTTGTTGTTTGTTTTCCCTTAACCGGAAGGAGTATGGTGTCTTGAAGGTCGGGTTTGTCAGTTGGGAGAGGTCGCTTAAAGCTGAGAGAAAGTGGTCTGAACTTGGGCTTTCAGGAGAGAGCCGCTGAGCAGACTGATGGGGCTCTTCTCCAAGTTAGCTTTCAGATATTTGTAGCAATAGAAGCAAAATTTGAAAATGTTCTGTCCATTACACTACATCTTTTAAACCTGGTTATTCCGAGCCTGGAGAAGGAGGGTGCTTTCTTGTTTGAAGTTTTGAGGTTATATTGTTGCAGAGAGGGTGTGTGAGATGAAAAGACTAATTCTTTCCATCCATCACTCCTTAAAAATGTCGGGGGTCAGAAGAGAACCTCTTATTTTGTTTTTTATCGTATTTTACTTGGGAAGACGACCTCAGAGCCACCAGTATTGACGGCTTCTTGTGTGCCAGGTGTGGTGCTAACTGTTGCACAGTATTTATTACCTCATTTAGTCCTCAAATCCGAGAGCTGAGGACTATGATTGCCCCCATCTTCCTGACAAGGAAATGGAAGCTTGGGGGGTGGAGTGATGAGTATGTATCCTTTTCCTTTCTTCCCTGTACACCCTGAAAAGCAGTGATTTTTCCTTTTTTCCCCCCTTTGTTTTAATCACCACCATATTATTCACAATGACATTTAGTGCTACTGTCAGTGCCAAATCCTAAACCTCCAGTGGATGCAGAAGTCCTACTGATTTGTACCTGCTTTTTATTTTGAGTGGCTCCTCCTATCACTTTCTGCGCGATCCGGTCACTGTCAGAGCCCTAAGGAGGCATGGCAACTGAATCTGAGTATTCTGACCCCAGAGTGAAAATGTCATTGGGTACAAATGAAGGCGTGGCTCTCAACCTGTGGGTTGCGACCCTTAGGGGTCAAAGGACCCTTTCACAGGGCTTTCCCAGGGTCACTTGAGAGCATATTTCTGATTGTCTTGGGAACTGAGACACAGGTCTTCTATCTGCCTCCAGGTGGGTCCATCCACATGCAGATCTGCCCACATACAGGTCACCACAAATCGAGAAACTGGATTAAAGGGTCGCCGGCATTAGGAAGGTTGAAAACCACTGAAATACGGGAATCTCAATTCAGGGCGTACTTGACTTAATCCTACTGTAACAATATTGGTTCATTGACTGTGACAAAGGTGCCATGGTCGTGTAGCTGTTAGTCATAGGGAGACGGGAAGATGTGTGTGGGCAGTCTGTACTACCTTAACAACTTTTGTGCAAATACCAGGCTATTCTCAAGCTTCAAGAGTTCGTTGAGAAAAACCATGAACTCAAGGAAGAATGCATAAGTGATGTGGGTGAATTGGAACCGTTCATTTTGAATCCTTGAAACCACCTTGTTTAAGAAAATGATTTGAAAAAGTCTTCTGGTGTCGTGAATTCTAAAACTATTGGATGGCATTTTTCATCAAATTCATTGAGCATTTTAATGAGCTCAAGATCCAGTGGGATAGACAACATGGAAAAGGGACACTTGTGCTCTTAAGGGCTTGTTTTTCTGTAGTGGAAATAAGATGAAGTGCTTTGGACATGTGCGCCTTATTCTTTGAGTACTTCCTGGTCTTGGGGAATGGTGTCTCAGGTCAGTTGCGTACTTTCCCTGTCATAGCCCAGCATGCAGCCATTCTCCAGGAGCCTGGATGTCTTTAGTGTGAGCCCACGTCTGAGAGAGAGAGGAAATACTATATAAATACCCCCTGATGTCCTACATCTATGCACTCACACATTTCTGTATAGCACTAGGTATCCATACGTACTGAAAGGAGTCCCAGGGCCTTAGTGGGTTATGTGTTAGGGTGCTACCCACAAGCTCAGCAGTTCGAAAAGAGAACGATTCACACCCTCCGAAACCCGCAGGGGAAGTTTGACTACTGGGTCGCTCCGAGTCAGAGTGGTCTTGATGGCGGTGAATTTGGTGCACTGGAAACCATGACTGTACGGAGATTTCCAATTCTAGTCTAGCCTTGTGGGTTTTATTCCTTTTGCTCTCCGTGGGCTCCAGCACTTCACGTGGGTGTGCTTATAGCACTCCGCATCCGTTCACCCCCTGGCTCGGCTTCGACTCTATGAGTGCACGGGCACCGCTTCATCTTTGCCGACACAAGCTCTGCACTCATCCATAGAGATAGCCGCCTGCTCGTATGTGGACGTGGGAGACCCAACATTTCATCATTGTTTCTGCTTGTACCATTCATGTGCATCCCTTCTGCATTGGTCTGCCCCTGTAACACTTCCCAGACGAGCTGGGCTGCTCCCATCCTAGGCGATTGTCACAGGGCAAGTGGTCAATGGCACTTAATGAAGAAAGGAAACCATCAGGGTCAGGCAGAGCTATAAATGAGCTAGCAGAAGAAGGGTGGATCTGTGGGTGTGCTGCTTTTTAAACAGGGACACATTCTGAAAGAGGACTTGAATCTTTCCAACCATAGGAAGCCTAGCTTTCCTATAGGCCTGCTTATTTCTTTCAGGCTTTGGGCCATCGCTAATTTTCCAGCTGATATCATTAAATCCAGGATTTTGTTAATAAAGATTCTGTCTCTCGTTCAGTGCTTATTCAAAATTGAATTTGCCTGTATTTGTTTAGAGTATGATTATTTAGAGCAGAGTAAGTGCTATCATTGAAATGTGCTTTTGACTAGAACATTTTATTTATAAGATGAACAGATTACATGCTGTGGGAGGGGTGGTGGGGAGGGAGGGGGAAAAAATGAGGAGCTGTTACCAAAGGCTCAAGTAGAAAGAAAATGTCTTGAAAAGAATGATGGCAACAAATGTACAAATGTGCTTGATGCAATTGATGTATGGATTGTCTTAAGAGCTGTAAGAGCCCCCAATAAAATGATTAAAATTTAAAAAAAAGATTACATGCTTTTTTTTCTTTTTTAATAAGGCAGCTTTGCAGTTTGGGGAGGTCTGTTTTCCATGATTGACTGCAGTATGGTTCAAGTCCGAGGCAAAGAAGATCCCTGGAACTCCATCACGAGTGGTGCCTTAACAGGAGCCATCCTGGCGGCAAGAAGTAAGGCTAGTGGGCTGTCCATGTTGGTGGGAAGAGAGTTGACCTGACTGAGTGAGCACGGGATCTCTCCCCATTTACCTTGCGGTCTTTAAAGCCATTGCAGTCCTAGTAAACGGCGTGAGCGGTCAGTCTACTTAACTTTGCGTGCTGCAGTTTTCTCACCCGTCTCTGAGGTCGGCCATAGTACTTGCCACAAGCAATTGCTGTGAAAAAAGAGCTCATTCGTCTGCTGCATCTTTGAGACAGAACAGCCCAGAATGTTGCTGCTGTTGGACTTTGTGGTCTAGGCCAGATGTTGGCCTACTTTTCCCCTGAAGGGCCAGGTAGTCATTACTGCAGGCTTCTTGGGCCATGTGGTCTTTGCCACAGCCGCTCAAAGCTGCCGGCACAGCATGAAAGCAGCCGTGTTGTTTTAGTAGCTGCCAAGTCACTTCCGGCTGAGCCGCAGCATAGACTGCTCTGAGGAGGTTCCAGGGCTGTGCCCTTGCAGAAGCCGCTCTCCAGGCCTGTCTTCTGAGGAACCTCTGATTTGAACCACTAACCTTTGGGCTAGTAGTTAAATGTTTGGCTGTTTGTACCACCTCGGGACTCTGAAAGCAGCCAAAGACGATAGATAAATGAATGGACATGACCTAATAAACTTTATTTATGAAAATAAGTGGCAGACTGGATTTGCCTTGTAGGCAGTAATTTGCTAACCCTTGGTCTTGACCAATGAGAAAGAGAAAGTTTATAAACAGGGAGGATCACATACCATATGGACAGCTCTTTCCTTTATTATAGCCTACATTACACCAGATTTGTACTGACTTAATTTCTCTGTTATTATTAATCCTCAGATGGACCGGTGGCCATGGTTGGGTCAGCTGCAATGGGTGGCATTCTCCTAGCTTTAATTGAAGGAGCTGGTATCTTGTTGACAAGATTTGCCTCCGCACAGTTTCCCAATGGTGAGTCTTCTTAATATGCAGAGCTATTGCTTCAACATTTTGGAATGGTTTCCCGATGTTTATCAAGAATACATTTTGCTTATGTTTTGATATCTTATAATAGCTGCATCTTAACAGCAGACTGGTTTTATTTGGTAAGGTAGGTAAGACAGTGGTACATTCACTTCATTGATTGAGTTCAGAAAATATTGATTACTGTGAAGAACATAAAACAGGTGGTCGATGTTTGGAAGGCCACTTTAGGGATCACGGGGCAAGTTTCTTTGGGAAGTTCATACTGTCACTTGAATTCTTAGCTAACAAGGGAAATGAAATTGGAGACCAAAATTGTTAGGTGGTCATGGACTGTCAGCTTAGCTGTCATCTTTTGCAGTGTCTTTTTGGTCAACGATTCTATAGCAGAATTCCGACCAAAAGCACAGAATTTCAATTTTTCACGGGCTCTAGATTTTCTGGAGCCATGAGGGCTGGCTGAACCCCTGAACCTATGCTCTGAAATAAGCTTTAAGTGTGTCGTGAGCATTGGGCTCTTTTAAGAACTCTATATGGCACCACAGTGAAGAGAGCAACTTGAAAGAGTCGATAGGAACCTTCGGGGCAAGGAGTTCATGTAAATGGAGGGGAACAGCGCAGAAAAGGTAAGTGAGAATGGTGGCACAGCCCAAAGTCTGTGATGTCATCAGTATCGCTGAATTGAGCACGCAGAAGTGTTTTGATGGGTGTTTTGCTGTATTTATTATCGGTCACAACAACAAAAATTTCAGTTGTCTAAATGAGAATGTGGCCCTGACATTGTAGCCAACTGATGGGGCATAGTGGTGAAAACTTGAACTGTTGAGGAAAGAAATTTGCAGAAAAGTGTGAGGCATGTTGAAAATTATTTTTGGAGCTTGGGAAGGAGTTAGCATCGACTTAGGAATAGATCATACCGCTCAATTTGATTTCCCCGATGCCCCTAGCAAGAGATTCTTGGCGCTTTCCGTGCCCACTGCTTGCTAGATGCCCGTGGAAGGACCTCAGTGACCTGTGGACCGTCTCCCCTGTGTTGTCCTTTGCACTCATTACTCCCCAGTCAGCACGGCTGTGATGGCCGCTTTCCACTCTGCTTCTCATTTGTTTTTACCGTGTTGCTGTGAACAGATACAACATTGAAGTTGTTCTGTGTTTGCAGAACTCCGGAAGCTCCAGTAACCAAATATTTACACTGTCATAGAGAAATTAGCCTTGGTTATTGCCTTCAACTTACTACTTCAGCAGGAATCTGCTTTTGAATGATCAGAGCTTGCTTAGCATGTAGCTATAGCTTAAGAGAAGTACATTTTATTTTACAAAGGAGATGTACTTCTGAAAAGCTATGTCGGAGGGAAGCCTTTGAAAAGTTAGCCATGTTTTCCCAATTAACTTACATGAAAGTTCTTAAAAACAATGAGGGGAAAAGTGAGTTAGGAAGGTATCTTAGTCTGGGTAGACTAGAGAAACAAATCCTTGGACACACGTGTATAAGAAAGAGATTTATATACAAGAGCAATTAAACATGGAGAAAACATCCCAGCCCAGTCTAGATCAAGTCCATAAGTCCGACATTAGCCCATATGTTGGATACCAATCTATAAAGTCTTCTTCAGACTCACGAAACACGTGCAATGATGCCGAATGTAGAAGATCACAGGCCAGTGGGTGGGAAGTCCTTGGATCCAGTGTCATTGGAAACATCTCAGCGCTGGCAGGGGTCTCTGCATCAGGGTGGATCCACGTGTCTTGTCAGCTGCTATGTCTACCAGCTCCAAGGAGGAAGTACCAGATTTCCCAGAATTCTCAGGAGAAGCTATCCCAACACAGAAGCCTCATTGGCTGTGTGACAGACTAGACTTCTCCCCTACCCTCTTAATCCTCAAATTGACAATTATTTATCTACCACAGAAGGTATTTAATTGCGGAGCTTACGATATATGTATAATTACACTGGTACAGATAGGAACTGGAAACACAGGGAATCCAGGACACATGAAACCCCTCAGGACCAGTGGTGAGAGTGGCGATGGAGGGTGGAGGGAAGGTGGAGTAGAAAGGGGGAAACGATTATAAGGATTACATATAACCTCCTCCCTGGGGAACGGACAACAGAAGAGTGGGTGAAGGGAGACATTGGACAGTGTAAAACATGACAAAATAATAATTTATAAATTGTCGAGGGTTCATGAGGGGAGGGAGGTAGGGAGGGAGGAGAAAAATGAGCTGCTACCAAGGGCTCAAGTAGAAAGCAAATGTTTTGAGAATGATGATGGCATGAAATGTACAAATGTGCTTGACATAATGGATGGATGTATGGATTGTGATAAGAGTGGTACGAGCCCCCAATAAAATGATTTAAAAATATATATATTTACCATTAATAGTGTATGATAAAAGCATCACATGAAGGGTGATGTAAAAGAAATTAAAGGTTTTAAGTGTTTGCACTGTCTAGGAAGTGATAAAAGAACTAATTTATAATAAATTCTAACAAGTTTAGCAAGTAAAAGACTATTACCAACATACAAGAAAGTGTAGAATAATAAAAATAATCAAAGACATTTCAAAGAAAAGAAATAAATTGTGTGTTTGGGGGGGTATGATGTTTAGGAACTCTAATATAAATAGACAAAATATGCGAGTGAAAAACAAAGTGGTTTAAACCATTCAATAGAACGGCGCTTATCAGAAACGTAGACCTCCACCTGGTGTACATAAAGAGGTGGTGGTGGGGAACCGAAAGAAAGGAAGAAAGGTACTGAAGTAGTAGCACCATGGTGATCGTGGTGTCATTCACCCAGGGTCCTCTCCAGTTTGCTGTAACGGACAGGTACTGCCTTTACAGTGAGATGCAGCTAAAACTTTGGACTGAAATACTGGAGAAGCCGGGTGGGTGGGGATTTGGGCAAAAAGAAAAAATAAATAAATAAATGAATAAATGAAATACTGGGGGAAGCTTCAGGGAATTTTACCACCTGCCCTTCTCCTTCTTCCCATCTAGATATTTTTTTCAGTCTGTTCTGTTTCCCTGGAGAAAGAAAACAGACCGTTCTCATAAAAGTCTTTTTCTTTCTTTCTTTTTAAGTACCAGAGGCTTTACTTCGGTTACAGGCCCCGGATTTTGAAAACAAAGCTGGAGGACTGCTTGCAGAGAGCTGGGCGGGGCGGGCGGTGTCTTCTCCGTTTCAGACCTCATTCTCCATTCCATGGTTGTGTAAACTGAATTACAACAGACAGCTCTTAAATTTACATGACTAAGATACTTGTGCTTTCTGAAAATAACTATAAATAGCCACTGAAAAATAGGTCAAGAGGTGGGAGAGTCTCAACTGCTAAGAACTTTAAATACCACACTTCTGGTGGCAATGTGCACAACCAAGCATAACACCCATTTACAGTTTCTACTGAACAATTCAGTAAAACCCGGGTTGTGTATTTCACATTGTGTTTTCATGCTTTCTTTACCCACATGCTGCATCACCATTCATTTAGACCAGTGACCTTTCATACAGTTCCTCATGTTGTGGTGACCCCCCAACCATAAAATTATTTTCATTGCTACTTTATAACTGTAATTTTGCTACTGTTATGAATCGGGCGACCCCTGTGGAAGGGTCGTTTGACCCCCAAAGGGGTCTCTGCCCACAGGTTGAGAACCGCTTATTTAGACTCTGCCCATGAGCATTCTCTTTCAAGGAACTGTTGTCAGTTTACCGGCATCTGGATAATTCTTTGTGAGAGCATTATGCTCCAGGCAAACATCTTGATGAAATTTTACTGTTTTGAGAATGATGAGGGTAACGAATGAACAAATGTGCTTTATACAATGGATGTATGTATGGATTGTGATAAGAGTTGTATGAGCCCCTAATAAAATGATCAAAAAAGTGGGGGGGGTGTATTGTTCAGTTTAGCAATGACTCCTTTCAGTCCAAGGTTTCAAGCGTATTTCCGGGCATTAAATTCAGGGATTCCTCCAATTCTACTGGGTCCATTAAGTCTGGTTTCCCTAAGAGTTTCACATTCTGTTTCTTGCTTTCCTCCTTTTGATCAGGATCCATCTCTTGGGTCTTGGATCAAATGGCTCAGTATTGATCACATTCAGGTGACTTAAAAATACATTTGTTTCTTAATCACAGGTCCTCAGTTTGCTGAAGATCCCTCCCAGTTGTCGTCAGCCCAGTTACCATCCTCCCCTTTTGGAGACTATCGACAATACCAGTAAGGACTGCTGCCCTGGATTTAGGCGAAAGAGCTATAGTTCAAGAAGGATTTGGGAAGACCAAGCCACAGTCTGTTTTTAAAACAATGGTGGGACAACTACGCCCATACAGGCTCTGAGAAGACATTGAGCACCTTTCTTTTTCCTATTTAAAGGAACGTGGGGGGAAGTATTAAAGGATGAAAAACATTTATTTATTCACACTTGGATTGCATTTGTGATCAAAATAAATGCCTAGTAGCATCCATAGAAAAATCTCTAGGTGCTTAGAAGATGAAGGAGCAAGGACAGAAACCAGTGACACATGACCACCATTTCCTCGGGGACTGCTCTTCCTGGTTTTGCGTGTGCTGTTATTCAAACAATAAAGACTCCTGGAACTTGCTCTTTCTTTTAAGATAAGTTGTAGAGTTCTACTTTTCACCCGCACATACTTCAAATAAGGCAAAGTGTGTTTCAAGCTGCGTACTTGAGTGTTTAATCCCTCATGCACGTGAAGTGGCTTGTGTAAGAGAAGGGCGATGGGGAATCACAGGCCCACCCGCAGTAAAATGCTGTATGAACACGAGGTGAGGCAATACCCATCCTTTGACAGTGCGAACTATGCTCCGTCCTGGTTTCAGGATCTTGGCTACCAAGCTCTCTTACCATTAGGGCTTCTATGTCTTGATTGCTGATCACCAGAAATAATTTATTCTCAATGTCCCCAGTGCTGTATGAGAAGAATTGGTAAGAGGCTACTCTTGGCATTGGAGAAATGTGTTTATTGTGTGCTTGAAAATAAAATCATGTTTCCAAAATAGTCTAAGAAGCTGATCTTCATAAGGGGTATTTTGGGGAACGAGCTGGACTTACAAAATAGATCAACTTTTCAGAATAGGTCATTTTCCTGATAGTGTTAGAGTGACGTGTGCCCTTAGAGAACGGATGATTCTAGTAATTCCCCGTTTGCCTGCATGTAACAGATCTGAGTGTGTACTGTGGACACGTTTCTCTTCCAAGCCGGTGGGATGCACCAACCCCAACAACCAAATCCCTTGATGTCAAGTGGAGCCGGACTCGTGGTGACCCCACAGGAGGGGGTAAAACTGCCCTGGAGCGTTTCCAAGGTGTCCATCTTCCTGGAAGCAGGCTCTCACTTCTTCCTGTGAATTGTGGCTGTGGGTTTGAACCAGGATGCTTGGCCTGGCAGCAGAGGGCTTCTTGTGCCATGTACACATAGTAAACACGTGACTTGTTTCGACTTAGTTTTAATTTTTGGCCATTCATTGTAAGATACTTCAGAAGAGCAAATCAGAGCGAGCGAAATGGCAGAGAAGAAAATGCTTCGATTTCCTAAGGCCTGAGTTCCTTGTCATTTAAATGGTGTATCAGCTGGGAAAGAGGTTCTATTTTTTGATGATGGAGTACGTGTGACGTGAATATGTTTTGGGTTAACTCTGGTCTTCAACTCAACATGTCTGAGGCAGTCCTTGATTTCTGGAATTGCCAGTGGTGTGGAAGAGACGTTTGTAAAAGATGGGAAGCCAGTTATTCTCAAAGGGCTTTTAATTTTACTCCACCGTGTGCAGGGCTTCCATTTGAAAACCCTATGAAAATCTTTACAGCTAGCTCTCCGCTTGACCCATGGCCACCTTCCTCTCTATCCCCTGGTGAGCAGAGGCTCTGCTCAGGTGGGCAGGCACTAAGACAGTGGTTCAGGGATGCCCTGATGGGCGGTAGAGGAAGAGGGAAAAAGAAACAAGCTGTATTCCATCTCTTTTCCACTTAAAACCCTCAGAACCGTGTACGGTGGTCCCTGCGTTGACCTGTTGCCATCCCGTCAATGCCCACTCAGTGACCCCGTAGGACAGAAGTGCCCCTACGGGGATTCCTAATTTGGCATCTCTGTGGAAGCAGAGGCCCACGTCTCTCACTCAGAACCACTAAATTTTCGGTTTTAAGCACTTAACCCACAGCAACACCAGGGCTCCTTTGTGGCCTGCATATGCATTTTATAACCAAGAGCTTTTGCTTGTGCTGTCCCCCCTGCTTATCCTCCCCCCTTGTATTCTGTCAGCTCCTTCCTAGGCAGACCTGGCTCAGGCCTGCTTTTATACCCAGCACAGCGTGGAAGGGATCTAGGGGTTTTCAGTCTTTTTCCTCAAACCTGCGACGGGAAGCTCCTGCAAATAGTGTTTGGAATGTTCAGTAATGATTCTGAAATGATACATAGTGTATTGAAGTAGATCCCAGGATAAAACTCGAAACTGTGGAATGTTTTCATGACCACCATGGGTGACGGGAGGGAGGGAGCAGCAGAAGGGAAGGCTTTCTCCCTGTTGTTCCTGGAAAGAAGGGGTTGATGCCTCCTTTTCAAGGCTGAGAAAGGCCCCATCTGCTTCCCCCTTTGTGGTTAGTATCTGACACGGTATGAAATTGGCGTGTGATCATGGATTTGTGCATCAGGAATGGCTGCACCTGCTGTTCAGAATCGCATCTGTTCTCATCTGAAGTGCCTAGGGTCAGGAGTACGGTCATAGTGCCCCCATGTGGTGTGTTAGTTAAAGCTCATAAATCAACTCAGTCTTTTCCATCAAAGCTGCTTAACCCACATGTGAGGGGTCGCAAAAAATTTGGCAACAGCAAAAGGTTTCTGAAAGCACAATGACCAAAATTTAATTCAGAATCTAACAATGAATCCAAGATGGTTGTGGTAGAGCTTGCGACTTATTTGTAAAGAAGTTTGACTAGGCCTTGCCCACACCCATTCAGATAGGTGGTATCGGGCCCCCTTCCTGCCCCAAAAACCAAGGGCAACAAGTGGGAACCAACGGAAAACCCTACAAGCAGACTGAGATGTTTTCCCCCAAGGATAGGATCACTTTTTCACACTGGGACTTCTTATTGAATGCATTATTAAATTATAGGCAGGGGTCTCTACCCCATTCAAAACTCCAGAGCTTGTGGAAAAGAATTACGGTGTTTTTTCAAACACTGCCATTGGAGTCCATTCTGAGGACCTAGGACAGAGTAGGGTTGCTGAAGCTGCAAATCTTCCTGGACCGAGGCGGCCTTTCTCAAGTGCAGTGGCTCTTCCAGCCATAGTCTTTAACTCCCACCAGATGACTGTCTGGGTAAGAGAAGGTGGGGGATGTGGATCAGATCTTTAGTTCCGGGGAGAGTGGCTGTGACCAGTCGGAAGTGGAGTGTGCTTTGGAACCCTTCTCATTTCAGGGACAGAAAGCGGGGACACCAGCAGAGTGGCAATATCTTGCTTTTCTCCTTTTGAACTATCTTAAAACAGTTTCTTTTTTAACATTATTTTATTTTTTCTTCCTCATTATTTTATTTTCAAGCACACAATAAACACCAAACTTCTCCAATGCCAAGAGTGGCCCCTGATCCAAAAAAAATTTTTTAATCATTTTATTGGGAGCTCTTACAGCTATACCATTCCATATTTCAATCACATCAAGTAGTACTGTACAATTGCTACCACAAACTCCTTGATATCAGCTTTTTATACCCTCCCTCCCCACCTTACTCCCCAGGAGCCTTTATTTATTTTTCTTTATAATAGTTTGGGTTTTCCCCCCCATATCTTACAAAATCCGTTATATTCATTCACATGCAATTCTGTTGTTCAATCCCATCGAGTGGGGTTTTATAGTCATCACTGCTCCCTGTTTTCCCCTTCTCTCCCTCTTCCCCTACCCTCAGGGAACCATTGCTTCTGTTACCTTGGCTTTCATGTACCAAATGATTTTTAAAAAAAGATCTTAAATAAACAAATGAACACAAGCAGATCTAACATGATTAATGAAGTAAAACAAAAACCTAATAGGGGAGGAAATATTAAAGAATAGTACTATACTGCACCCTAGATTTGTCACCCCTTCCATGTGGCCTTTCTGAGAGGGACTGGCCAATTAACTTGCAGGTGGGTTTTGGGTCTCCAATCTACATCCACGCCCCTTCACATCTATTTGGTTAATTCTTTTTGAACTTCTGATACTTCTTCTTGTTACCTTATGATCACACAGGCTGGGGTGTTTCTTCCATGAGGGCTTTGTTGCTTCCCTGCTAGATGGCTGGTTCACAAATAAAGCTCAGTGATTTGGGGCAAAAGACTTGCTTGTGGAGTAGGGTGGCCTCGATCACTTAGTTGAGGAGCTAGGTTCCTGACCTACAGAGCTAAGCAGCACTAAAGGAGCTCTGCAACGTTGCCTAAGCAAGGCAGAAGCCGAGCGGCTATGTGGCTGAGGCCAGTGACCAGCGAGAGGCGTGTCTGTGCTGCATGGCTGAAATGAGTGTGTTCTGAGGAAGAACTGTGTCCTGAGCATTTCTGATCCTGAACTGTAACCTGTTAACTTTACTGATTAGCCCCGTATTTGTGAGTATGGTTTGTAAGTTTTGTACGGCCATCGGAATGAACCACCAAACAGCAGAATAGGAGAAAGTGCTTTGGGAGGGATGGTTGGTTTCAGAATTGATAAGATTTAAGGGCATGCTTGCTTCAGCCTCATAGCTGCAGCTGTTGCCAATTCTCCTGCACCCCCTTGTGAAGTTAGAGGTCAGACGCTGCCCCCACACCTGATAACAGTTTTGCTTTTGTTTGTTTTTAAGCAATTCCTAACTTTCTAGTACAGGACACTCCCAGTCTCATCTTTTATTTTCCCCGCCCAAACGCTGGGATGAACTTCTCCAAACTTAAACGGACCAAGCTCCCTGCTGACCGGGATGCAAAGGCCAGCATTTGCCCAGGAACAAAGGTCAGAGGGCAGAAGGGAGAGGAAAGGACAGTGGAAAGTGGGATCCATAGGGAAGCAGTGCAGTGATGTTCCATTGTGGGGATTGCAATGACTGTCACAAAACAGTGTGTACCCGAATTGTTGAAGCCAACCTGCCCTGTACACATTTACTCGGATCACAATAAAGTTTAAAAAAAACAAGAAGTGATACACTCTAATTTCTATTACAATGAAAAACTTTTGCTCTAATGAAGACACGGCTGTGGGTGAAAAGTCAAGCGGCAGACTGACAAACATCATTTACAAGTCACGTGTCTGAAAAAGGCCAAACCAGAGGGGCAGACTACAAGTAGTTGCCAAGGGGTGATGCTGAGTGAGTGTGTGTGTGTATGGGGGGAAGGGGGGTGGGGGGAGGAGTTAACAGTGAAGGGGCAACAGGAAGAAGTTTGGGGGCAAATTAATTGTTCTGTGTCAAACTGTGGTGGTTGGTCTCTGATGATGGATTTTTTCCAGATCCATAGTGACATGTACTGAATGTCAAAATAAAAATCAAGGTGGGCAGAAGACGCAATGCAGACTGCAACAAACAAACGCACGGTGGCTGGTCACATCACTGAACGGGGGAGGCAGAAGGGAGTGGGCCTACATGGCTTTGGGAAACTGT